AATACTTCCAAATATAACAAGCTAAATTTAATCCTCTAATATGTCCAAAGAAAACTTACTCCAGATGGTTTTTTGTTCACAACAGAAATCTTCATCATATCTTCTTATGTAATTTTTTGCTCTCTAATACCCTTTTTGTCTCCGATTGTGCTACATGTACATAATGATTTACATATTGGTTCGCATACATATAATGTAGTGAAATAAAATTGGATCAGAATTTCTTCAACCAAATAATTAAAAAAACTTCCCCACTCTTTTTTCGACACCTCATCTATATGTAAATCATTATGTAACTCCCTATGTACAAGTAGCATTATTCTTTTGTCTCACACATAGCTACTATAAAAAATAAAAAATACTAAAGATGCCAAAAGCCTAAGCAAGAGGCAAAGTGGCAGAGTCAGAGAGATAATAATTACTCAAAATGTCGAATATACAGAATATTTCCAGGAGAAATAGTGGAATATAGTTAATGGTTCTAATAGGACATAAAAAATCATCCAGTAAAAAAAAAAAATTATGTGCTTACATGTTGGAAGAATCAATATAGTTGCAGACAACAACAATTTTTCCCAGCCATAGCAATCCCCTGCACTGTATCTGTTGTTCCTGAGTAATATCTCCAAACACTCTCCACTTTTTCAGTCGTATATCATACAGGATTAAACCGTGAAGACCAGCAACCGCTAAGTACAGTCCGTCCTTGCTAGCAGCCACGTGCATAACTGGCCAGTTTTGGGAAATATATGAAACCTGGCATAAGAAAAAAATTGTGAGAAAAAACAATGTACAAGAAATTAAACAAAAACTAACTTCATCGATGTCGGTACATAACTGGAATATTGAGGTGCAAGATTTTGAGTTCTTCAGTATCTTCAGACTGCACAACTAGCAAACGATCTTCACCATAGATAACTTGGCGTACATAGGTTGTACCAGAAACACCTCTATTGAGGCAGCATTTGCCAAAAGAGAAGACAATAATCCTGTCAGAAGATCCTTCCTCAATTGAATAAAGTCTATATCCAAACTCATCCCAATGCATTAGGGAGGCACCACCCATCATCGGTTCATACTTGTGATCAGGGTTTGGCTTGATTACAGGAGATGAAGCAGAACTCAAACCTATTTGACGGATAGTAGACATCAAGCGACACCCTGAAACAGACCAAACTGTAAGTCCTCTTAACTGCCATCCAACAGCAAAAGCAGAGTTATCAGGCGTCCATGCAATACAATTGACAGGACCCGTATCTTCCACAGAATATCTGCAAAATATTAAAAAAAAATAAAAATTAAGGCATTAAATTTGCTCCAATATGAGCAAAAAAATTGGAAGATTGTTAAATAAAATAAGATATATAACAATGTCGCATATAAATTAAGAGAGAGATTTTAATTTTCGTAGAAAATGGTAAATTAAATCTCTCCTTAATGTCTTGGACAGAATTAGAATGCCATTTTTTTACTAGGTGCTCATTTTGTATGGGCTTTTAGTTTAATGTTACGATTCACATATGTGTTTATCGAAAAGAAATTATTTAATTCGTGTTTAGCTCATATAAATTAAAAGTTGCTCCTGCTACTAAGCTAAGAGCCTTGAGCATTATGCAAGGACGTGCCGTAGGAGCGACCAATTACCTTCTAGGTGAAATTGCCCCCACATAAGCGTTCTTCTTATCACAAATTATTGAAGTAGGATAATGACTAGGAAGTAGTTTCCACTTCATGGTCTTCAATTAAAATAATGATTTCAATATGCTTTTCAGAATATTTCATAGGAACGAACTTCAGCATTAAGTTTGATCAATGGGTTTATATTAACATATCATGGAGAAATTTAGAATTATCAGCCTCAATGTCAATGTGAGTTCCTAAGCATAAAAGCATTACATTACAAGATTATTTATGGTAAACGGCAATGTTCTGGTAGTCTCAATATATATCTTCTACACCAGATATCATTACTAATGAATCTTCGTAATGATAGGACATCAAATATGAGTTTTCTCAAACTATTGAACCTTCCCCTGTTCTAAGTCACATCACAGAACCAGGTCATTCCAACATTACTGACCATACAAAATCTTATTCAAGATACACATCACATAATGAACCACTTCAACTATTATACATTAAGCTCCATATCCAAGCAAAAAGAACCATAAAACAAGTCCTCAAGTAAAGTGATCGGAAAGTCAATAATTCGCACCTGTTATGCACATGAAGTATGCTTTAGTAGCAACAAAGAGCAGATCTAAAGTTAAGATCCTGGATCCCTCAAGTTTTAGGAATACATGTGCTAGTTGCTAAGAAACTTATCTCATCAATAAGAACCACAGGCTACATTCTAAGATTCTCTGCAAATGTAAAAGGCTTACCCCCAATCATGCAAGGAAACGGTACGAATAAGTGAAGCAGAGTCTGCAAGGTCATATAATTCAATAACACCTCTTTGGGTGCCAACAGCAAGAATCTGTTGCTCTGAAGCAACCGCTGCACATACCACATCACCAGAAGCAAACCTCCTCTCAGCTTTAATAGAGTCTGCATGCTTTAGACCTTTCTTACTTATAGAACATAACATGAGTTGTCCATCAGAAAATAGCACAAACAGTAACCTCAATGGCATGGAGAACTCAAGCTGAATCACAGCAGACTTCTGTGGGACGAAATGGTTGGACGCAAGAACGCCTTGAGTTGCACCAGAAGCAAGACCATTACCCAAAGAATGCAACAGTTCACTAGTATCATTGCTACCTAAGAGCCCAACATCAAGATGAAAAGCACCATAGAACTGCATACAACAACAATATATAATAATGAGCCAATCTATTGCATCAGGTTACGTCAGTTAAAATTTATAACAATCTTCAAATTATTTCAAGCTAAGAAGAAAGCAGAACACTTAAACCTTCACCCATGCTGAAAAGTTCAACTAGAGAACATAATAGCTTCATGATAAGACTTATGAGTACAAACTTCTTCTTCTTCTTTTTTTTTAGGTAATCGCGAAATTTTATTAATCATAAGATAATACACAAGAAGTGCATTATCAATTTAAACAAGATAGAAATAACATAAAATTAGGCAGCCCTTCTATCGAATTAGTAGCTGGAGCATTAAACTAGGTATAAACTAAGTATACAAAGTCAGATAAAACAATTCTCTAAACTACTCTGTCGTCCGTGTTTGATCTTCAAAACAGCGATCGCTCCTTTCTCTCCACACACACCATATAATGCATCCTAAAATAAAATCCCAAACAAGCTTGCTATTCTTATCTCAAAGCTTTCTCCTCCATGCGTGCACCACGTCCTTTATACACCTTAGCAATACCCAATTCATTTGTTGAGAAGCCAGAATATCGTTCAACAACCAACGAACATCATCACAATGAATGAACAAATGGTCAATCATCTCCCCATCCTTCTTACACGTATAGCACCACTCGATTATATAACAACCTTTTCTTCAAAAATTGTCCACCGTTAACATCGCCCTCTCACAACCATCCACAGTAAAAATGCCACCCTTGGAGGCAATTTACATTGACATACCCCCTTCTAGGGGAATGAACTCTCCACAAGTTTCGATAAGGATCTGAAATAAGTGAGAACGGAGAAAATACCATTTCGTGCCACCCTCCACCTGCTACAATCGTCCTCTCCTACCCGGATGTGCACCTCATGCAAAGAGGTCAAAAACAACGCATGATCATCAAATTCTCAATCCTGTAAACCCCTCCCGAGAACGATGTTCCAGCTAAGACTCCCATTATGTATGGATATTACATCATTCATCGTAGCAGAAGGCTCCAAAGCAATGCGATGCAAAGAAAGAAACCGCACTTTTAGTAGTTGATCTCCACACCAACAATCTTCCCAAAATCTGACATTTGTACCATTCCCTACCACAAAAGGTAATCTATCCCGAAAATTGCTCCATCCCTTCTTAATATATCTCCACACACTCACCCCATAAGAACCACGACTCTCACCCGAACACCAACCCCCCCTCCATAACACCATACTTCACCCCTATGATTTCTCTCCAAAAACTCTTCCTCTCCGCTCCAAATCGCCAAAGCCACTTGCCCAACAAGGCATTATTGAACAATACAAGGCTCGTTAATCCAAGACCTCTCACCCCAATAGGGGTGCAAACATCGCCCCATTTTACCAAATGAATTTTCCTCTCCCCCCAACCCTACCCATAGAAACTTCCTTTGAATCCTCTCGAATTTATTTGTCACCTCAACGGGAATAGGAAACAATGACATAAAATAGGTTGGGAGATTAGAGAGAGTAAATTTAATGAGAGGAAGACGGCCTCCATTTGAAAGGTAAGAGTACAAACTTCTTAAATAAAAAAATGACAAAGTTGATGATGACCACTAAATTCACATACCTCACCCTTCCAGGAAATGTTATACAGCGACCCATCTGAAAGTCCAATTAGCATGTGCTTGTTATCACAAATAATGTTGCTCCTGTCATAAAGAAAGAAAATCAAAATTAGAGTATCTCCAAAAAACTCTTTAAACATGAGATGCTCTCTATTTTAAAGAGTCAACCCTAAAAATCATTCTTCTAAAGACTCTTTAAATTAACATTTTACTTTAGATAGTGGGATTAGCCCTCCAAATTCATTCAAAGTGTTTCAATTTTTAATGTAGAAAAATAATAAAATAATCTAAGAAAAGGCTAGTTAAAATAATAGATAAAGAAAAATAATAAATATTTTTTGGGAGTAGTATAATTAAGTGTAAAATATAAAGAGCTTATTAGAATATTTCAAATTCTTAACTCTCTAAATTTATAGATGCTCTCCAAATGATAGAATACGCTCTTTGGAGATACTCTTACAGTGAGATTTAAGGGGGGAAAAGGGTACAACAAACTGTAAAAAGGCCCATAAAAAGGACAAACAATTTCATCAATCAACTTTTTCTCTACACATTTATCCAACTCAACCATATGCAATACAAAAGAAAAGTGGCAGAAAGCATGAATCTTCAGGTGTTAAAAAATGAAGAGAAAATTTTTAAGCAGTGGATCAACGTTACGATGCATAAGATAGATTGGACCATCAGATGAGAGACTATTCTATTCTAAAAGAATATGAAAGTTCAAACTTCAGTTTTATCAACAAAATGAGATAAATAAATCTAAACATCAAATGTTTGATGCTTGCAAAATCATGAAATTGCCAACGCTCAACATCTCAAAATCCTTGCCTTAACATGCACCTCCTTTACATCACATTGAAATTAGTTCCAATTAGCACATAATTCGTATAGATATTAAATAAAAGTAAAGTAACTATGGAGAGGAAAGAATTAAATCAATGAACCAAGGTTGTATACTTTTTACATTTATATGCATAAACCACACAATTTATCATACAAGGAGAAGTTCCTGGAAAACATTCTTGCTTTTCCATAGTTTCACCCAGATCACCACCCAAAAACACATGCACTCTTTCACAGGTACAAGAAAGTATTTAATTAGTGAGCTTCCCTAAGTGTGGCCAAGGTAAACAAATTTCATGTAAGTCCGTAATATTAAAAAATCCAAAAGCAAAAAATACTGTTGGTGCTCTTTTTCTTGTAATCACCATTAACCATTTCTTGCCCACCCGCCACCACAACGCAAACCCCCTTTTCGATTTATTTGTCATCCTTGAACAGCATTTCCATTAAAGTTTATTATAAGAAACTAACTTTATTGTCCGACTAATTTTTTCCGTCAGATTTCTTCGGAATGCTTTCTGAGTTTTGTTACTATGGATTTCAGCAGTGTTCCACAATTTTAACAGGATAGCTCTAACCTCAAGCTGTATATTCAGCTCTAAAAATCTCACAGAATTTTCTAAAACCAGATGGCTAGCACATGCAGTCTCTGAATTAAGTGCTGACCCATTTACCATTTAGTTTTAGAACAATTAAAGAAATGACCATTTTTAAGGAATGGTTCAGACAACAAAATGCCATGCAACAGAAGAGGACAAACAGAGACCTGAATTTTTCAGTCTTGCTAAAGTCACAATGTGTTGCCCGATTATCAACCATCACAAGCTGTATTGGTTCTACGAACATTCAACCAAATCTCTGCAAATTAATGTCATTTCTTTTACCGCATGTTCTCTCTCTCTCTCTCTCTCTCTCTCTCTCTCTCGCTAACAAGATTTTAACAATTGATTTCTCATTGGCTTCATCTAGAAATGGCATTCCTAATGTTTAGAGAAGTTTGTATGGAACTCAGATCTTTCATTAAAATTGCTGGTCCATCACTAGCTATACCATTGTGTAAGAAATGAAGTTCAAAGCTACACATTAAAATTTTGAAAATCCTCTGTAATGTAAGAAGAAAGGCACTTACGCAGTCAAGTTGTTATCTGCAAAGGGAACTTGCTCACTGAGAAGTAAAGAAATATTTATCAGAGACAAACCAGTTGGCTGCTTCCCGCCAATTTGTATCCTCTTTTCCGTAAATTGAACCTTAAATATGTGTAGAAAAAATGAAGATGTCTGCCAAAAAGCAACGAGTGTAAGTAACAGGGTTCTGTGGAACACAACAGAAGATCTATTACATAAACTAAGTAGAAGGTCGAATAAAGATCGTAGTTCAAAAAAATGATTTTCCTTCAAGAGTGATAGATTGAGTTACACTTGGCACCAATTTAACAAATGGGGATACAGCGACTCAAAATATCCCAAATTTGATCAAATTATAAACAAAATCACCAGGAAATTCATCTAAAGTGCCCTATACGATGACTTGGTTTATCCCTGAAGTTCAGATAAAATCAGTACACCGGTAATGCAACACTTACAAGAACGGCAATCAGCTTAGAGTCGGGGCTCCAAACCGCCTGCAAATTCTCCCCTTGTATCCGAATCGAAGCTGCGTCTCTCTTATACTTCCCTAATCTCAATCTATGCTGCAATTCCACAAATTACGCATATACACAATCAATCACAATCAAACCGGAATGTACGTAAAATACATATGTACATACACTTGTGTGACCTGAGAGGAGGACCAGAGCTCGATGTGAGAAGGAGAGACGACAAGGACCAAGCGATTGGCGACCTTGAGGTAGACGATCTGCTGTGTGGAGGGGAAACTCGGTAATTCCAATGGAATCACCTGCGGCCATCCATATGCCATATACATCTTCGTGTAAGTATATCCGAATGTAAGTGTAGATATACAAAGAGGGAAGAACGAAGAACAGGAAATCTAAATCTAGGGTTCTGTAAAAGGAGATCCAAATGGGATCGACGCCATTTTTAGGTGGAAGAAGAGGATTCGAGATGTTCGAAGAACAAAGACTGGTACTCCCCTACTATTTTCTACATTGCGGAACTTTTGGAAATATAATTAAGGAAAATTCCATTTTGGGTCTCACTCTTTGCTAAGTTGTGCAATTAGGTCATTTACCTTCCAGTATTATAGCATTTGAGTCCTTAACAGTCTATTCCCTACTATGCCCTTGTTTGATATAACTAGAAAGTTTAATTAAAAAATCAATAATTAATTTTAACCACAAATTTCATGGGATCAAAAAATTTTATTAATTTTTTAATCACATTTTTCATTAACTTTTATCAAATTTTATTATAAATCTGATTTTTAACAAACCAAACATGGAATATAACGACACAACATGCCCCACCTTCTCATTTGCCACTCCACGTTTTTCCAACTCTAAAGCCCATTCTCAGGGCCAGCTCTGAGAATTTGGAAGCTCTAGATGATTAATTTTTTTGAGGCCCTCAAACACAATATTTTTATAATCGTAAAACTGGTTAAATATTTAACCAAATAATGTTTCTATATTAAAATGAAGATTTCACGCAATTCAAGAGATATTGTAGCAAAATAAATCCCCTCTCACAACTCGAGAGATTAGACTAGTAGAATATTTAACATTCTCACATTTTGAGATGCAAAAGGAATTGGTACATTCATTGAGGAATTAAATATAATAATGCAAATGTAAAATTCATATATTAAATTAACTATTTTTCACTAACATGGAGAATATATAATAATTTTTATCTCTTCCTATTTTGTGTACCGTGAAGTAATACAATAGGTGCAATTTTGTGACTAAAAGGAAATTGTTCTTAATTTTGATTTCCTCTGTCATAGTGGTATATTTCTTAATTGACAAAAATACGAAAGTAAAATAATTTAATGATGTCAAATCTGCTTTCCTTACAATAAGGTCAAATTTGTTTTGAAAAAGTTTCTATACTAGTATCAAGTCAAAAATCTAAATTTTGTTTTCATGATGCCAAAAATCTCTATTATTTGGAATGATCATCAAAAAATTCAAAATTAAAGATAGTTTTGAAGGCTTTTTTTGTGAGGCTCTCAAAATTATGAGACCCAAGGCAATGGCTTAGTTTGTCTTGGGCCAGGCCAGCCTTGCCCATTCTTTAGCCATTAATAAATTTGAACTAATTGCCACCCATATCAAACTCCTTTGAAGGTAGATATTGTGTAGATTGATGTGCATTACAATGAGTTATCATACTCATCTTATTTGTGAGTTTGAAAGTATACTTATTATATTATTAAACATTTAGCCGTAGATAATGTAGAACCTTAACCAAGTCATGCAAATATGTGAGAATGAGATACTCGAATGACTGAGGATTTGGAGCCTGTTTGGGAGTAATTTTTTCTCCCAAAAATTTGATTTTTTATTATTATTTCAATCGTCATATTTGACTTCTTCTCTCACAGGTGGACCCAATTTTTCTCCTAACTATCAAAAAATCAATTTTCAAAATCACTCCCAAACAGACTCTTAATGACTGTTTGGAAGCTGTGGTATATGAGGTTCAAAAGAAAGTCGCATTTGGCAACAATTGGGTGGTGGCTTATTTGAAATTGGCGGTATTTGGATTTTTCCTTTATATTTTTATTTTCTCTTTCCATTTCTTCTATCTGTCATTGTAAAAAAATGATGCTCGTCATCTATTCAACTAAAGTTATGTCATATTAACAACTAACGATTATATGTGATAAATATCATTTATTATCTTGACAGACATGTCATTTTTGCTGGTAAAATTTAATGAGTAACCATATCGACATAAATATCGAAGTGTAGTTGATTGAAATCAAATTAAAATGAAGTTAGCTAAGTGAAAATAAAGAATGCTATTGGATTGTACAAAATCACTCTACAATAACCCAATTGACACTGAGTAAAAATATGGTTACCATGAACGAATTTGTGCATTTGAAAGTCAAAATCACTGTTTAAAACCTGCAGCGTTAATATATTTAGCCTAAAACTTATTCATTTAAAATTTTTATTTACTTATAAGTAAATTTTTTAAGCTTAGCGAAACATGAAATTTGAGTTTTTTTTTTTTTTTTTCCGAAAGTATCAAATTGGACTACAACTTTTCTCTATTATTTCATAAGAATTCGAGAAATAAATTCATATCCAAGGAACACTTTTACAGTACTTGACTAATAATTAAAACTTTAATCCAATCAAGACTGATCTTGCTATTAGAATAATAAATTGGCATTTCACTTCTTGGAATACATTGATTCAACTTTGCCATCATTCCCACCAAGAAGCATATATTTATCCTTCCTTGTCAACTGAGTGCATTCAAATCCAAGAACACCTGCCAAGATTTTCTGTACATGATTCGCCACTTCAAACGGCGATTTTCCGCCGCCCTTTACCGTCATCTCCTCCGGCAATCGATCGAGGAACGTGGCCTCATAAGTCGGCCGGGGATTCATGAAGTAGAAATAAGGATCCCAGAATTTGACACCCCTCACGGTGGTGCCGTGGAACATGTTCTCTTTCAGGTTCATCGCCACCGGCACAATCCGATCGCTCAATTCAGCAAACAAAGCACTAAATCTCAATAGATAAGGCTCTCGGCAGGTGGTTCCCTCCGGGCAAACCACTAGATCGCCCTTCTGAAGGAGTGACTTGATCATGGCGGCGTCGGCTTCCCGATCACGGGTCAGTGCCACTGCAGGGATCGGCGAGAGAAACCTCGACAACTTGCTTACACTGTATGTAACGCATGAGACTTTCCTACGGAGTGCGATGGCGATGATTATAGGATCTAGGGCTGTGCGGTGGTTGCAGACGTAGAGGTTGCCGGGACAGCCTGGCGACGGCGGAGGCGGTATCGTGCCTTTGATTACGAGTTTGATTCCCAGCATGGCGTATGAGTAACGGACAATCCTTTCCGGTAAAGGGAGATTGAAGTAAACTCTGATAAGGGAGAGAATGAAACCGAATGGGAGCCAAATGTAGGTGATGAGGGCATTGAATGGAGTTGGGCACTGGACGAATCGGCCGTCGTGGAAGATTAGCCGGCTTTTCAGGCGGTCAAGTTGCAACGGAGTGGCGGTTTTGCTTGGGTGCACCATGTAACCCTTCTGCAGGAGCACAAAAATGCTTATTAACCATATAGATTTTTGAGGTTAGAAAAAATAATTTTTATGGAATTTTTTTATTATTATATATCAGCTCGATATATATATTAAAAAAAATTATCTGCCTCTGTTTAAGTCCAAATAGAAGACCTCTTGGCCGATCAATTATGGCAGTTGAAATGGTAAATGTTATGTCCTTAATCGATATAGAGTTATACTACAATAACAAATTTAAAAAACAAAGGATATGTGGAGCAACATCATTGAATAATTAAAAAAATCAATAAAATAAATACACGCAGCACATGTCAAAGCCCTATTTGAGTAGCATTATTGATGAATATATTGTCACAACCATTACATTTTTACATGTTATATAAGTTGTTTAGCTAAACATTGGTAAAAACCTAAAAGTCAAAATCCATAATTTTTATCAACTTTGCAATCATATATTTATCAAATTAAAGTTGTGCAAGTCGAATAGATGATAAAATTTTAATAATGTTTTATCAAAATTTAGATTAACGTGAATTCGAGAAAAGAAGAAAGAGAATTAAGCTAACCTTACAAATAGACATGAAATCATGATCAGACTCTCGATCTCCGATCCCAAGATCAGGCTTTTCTTCTCCAAATTCCTTCAAAATAGACAGTTTTTTCCATTTTCCCACCAATACCCCAGGCTTCTTCACAAATCCAGTAGCTCTTTTCGTCTTTGGATTCACCTCAATTTCTGTCCCAATAACCTTATCACACCCCAAGAAATCTTTAGCAAAGGGTTCAACCATTACTGTTGGATTTGCAGTAATTATAACTTTTCTCTTACATTTGTCAAAAACTTCAAAACTTTCTTGCCTCACGTTTGATGCATAGAATCTCGGAAGAACTGCGCGTGAAGCAAGATCGATATCGCGGAGTTTAAGGCCAGAAAAGGAGATGAAAATGAGCATTTGAATGGCTAGGGCTTCAGAGATGAAGATGTAGGCTATAGCTATCAGAGGGAATGATAGGAGGAGGATTAGGCCGCGGAGGAGGCTACCGGCTTCCACGGCCACGAGCATGAAGTAAGGGAAGGAAGAACGGGAGATTAGAAGGGTGCCGTCGAGGTCCGCCGCTATAGAGTGGTGGTTCACGTCGATGTCGCATTTTTCTATTGATGGAAAGGTGGTGGTGGTTTTTGGATTTGGAAGAGACATGACTCAGTTTTTGCTGGAGCGCAAGAAATATCTGTGATGTAATTTCTATATAAGCATGTATATATACACGAGTGTGGCTTGGGGTGGAGGGCTTGTTCGCAATTTAAATCAATGATGTATGGACTTTGAAAATGTAAAAAGTCAAAGGGTAAATGCTGGAATTAGGGTAAAATATTTATATAAATAAATAGAAACAGAGTTAAGGGTCCGTTTGATTGCAAAAATAAAATTGAATTGAATTAATAACGAATTTTAGGAAATTGAATTGTTTAGAAATTATTTTCTTAGAAATTGTAAATTATTGTATTTAATTGACATAATTTTTCATGTGAAAAATATTAAAATAAAAGTGTTTTTTGATGTTAGTTTGACTTTATTTTACATGAAAAGTGTTAATTAAATAACTATATTTATTGGTATTGGGGATGAAATATGTTTCCATTGCTAAGAAAAAAAATGAGAAAATCATCTATCTTTTGGTGTTCGTTTGACTTTATTTTATATGAAAATTATCAATTAAAGGGAAATGTTTTTTTATAATAATTCTTATAATTTGTTTCCATTGTCAGAAAAAAAAGTAAACAGTGGGTTGAAAAACTAATTCCCACTGATTTTCAAAGAAAACCAAGAAAATCACAATTTCCAAAACAAACAAGAAAATCAAATTCCATAGAAAAAATGCCCAATCAAGCACCAACAAAGTTGAAAAATAGAATTCATTTTTCATTTTCA